GTTCAAATCGCGCTGCTCTAATCGCGCTTGAGGCGCCGCAGCACTTCCCGACGCTGCTTGAAGCGCGTCCGCCATAGACTTTGCATGTAAACCTGATGCTCCTGATGCTGAAATCGCGTTTGGTGTAAACGCACCATTAGTTTTATTTGCGACCCAACAATAATAATGGACTACACCAAACCCGAAGGAAAAGTACTGAAGGCTGTATTGGACTATCCAGCAATATGATGCTTAAAACGAGAGAAGGACGACAGAATGGTAAGCTAACTGTGGCTAACATTAGCTTCCTCTCGTTGAAAGAACAAAACAAAACAAAAACGTTACAGACGCTATAAATATGAAGTTAATCTAATCTGTTAACATAACCTGGCCAGTAAACCAATCTAATGAATCGTAACTGATGTCAGATCATGATATGTCCAGCAGCCCAGCTAAGATAAAAGCAGACTGAGTGTAAACAAACAAACAAACAAACAATTGCCAGTACTCATTTGTATCTCACRTATTTCAGAGATATTTTATGTTCTTAGTTTGTTTTGGAGTTCATCTTAAAATATTACCTTGTGTTTAAATAAGTTTTTCATGTTCACGATGGCTTAAATGTTTTACTTATTTTATTTTATTTTTTCAACTAGCAACTTACATTCCTGTTTTGTTATATTTTGTAAATATGTCCAAGTTTAATAATGTGAGAGAAATCCACATTTTTCTGTTCATTCAGTCAGTGTTTACTCTCACAGCTGGCACAATGAATTGTTAAAATACTGTGCTTTTTTATTTAGTGTGTACAAAATTAACTCTTCATGTTATAGAAGACTTTTGATTCAAGAGAAATGTTAGGTTAGGTTAGGTTTTTAGTTAAATTGCCGCTTATCAATTAATCATTAGTCGATCGATGAGATCACTCAACTTTAGATTAATCCATTAATCGATAACTTGCATTCCTAGTTCCAACCCTTCTCACAACCTTTCTGAAGTTGAACAGAAAACCAAGAGTAAAGATGGGTTTTGCCATCTGTGTGAAGCAGTCCAGTCTTTGACCTCTGCTCTTCTGCCTGACATAGTTGCCCTGTGGAAAAATAAGTGGATTACCTCAAAGGTCACAGGACGGCAGCTTTCCATCAGAGGAACTCTCTCTGACCACACACGAGCCAAACGYACTTATCTTTGTGCACCAGTGTGTGTGAGAACATATTAAACGTTTCCTGAAAGGTCATTGAAGACTCTGCAATGCCCCGTCTGGCTCACATTCGGACTCTTTGCGTTCAGAGTTTCTGTTCACACCGTGATCGATGGCCGTGCCCAGATACGTAAAGTCAAACCACTTCCATGGTTCCACGTGGAGCCTCAGAGGAAACGGCACCAGGACAGATCTGATCCTAACTTCCTGTCAGCCATGTGCGACTCTCTGAAGGTTCCTCATCTTGTTTTTAAACCCTTTTTCTCAGCTCAAACAAAGCTCAATCAGCAGCCCACCTCACTGTTTACTACACGTGACCTTGGAGTGTCCCTCCCTGAGATGAAGACACCCTACCTCGGTGGGTGTGACCGTCAGGAGTGGGTGGACGAAGTGAGGAATGAAAACGGAGCGAGCAAAATGAAATGCATAAGGGGAGGAGAAAGATTAAAGCAGAGCTTAACCCCTCTCTCTGCTCTTTGCTTCTGCTCTCTGCAGCCACCATAACTAATCGCCTCGCAGCATCAGAACAGCAGCGACGGCCCGATGCTCTGAGCGCTCGCTGCATACTAATGGCTCAGCCCTGGCGACTGTTGCTAGGATGTGGACAGATAGTGCAGGAGAGCGAGAGGCTTGAGTTTAGTTGATTGACATCATCCGTCGAGCGGAGTGTCACATGTATGATGTCAGAGTGACCTAAACACCCCAGAGAATAAACACTTCTTACAGAAAGAGAACTTCACACAGTTCATAAAGTGTTCTGCTGCTCGTCTCAACCTTTTTGCTCTGACATTTTTCAACTCCATTCAACAACCTGCGACAAGGGCTTGGCAAGTTTTGATTAAGATTCTTTCTTCAAAATATTAATTAGTCTGCCCACACATATTGGAAATAATCTCCTCTGTGTTCCAGTGATGCTCTGTAGGTGCAATGAATCAATAAGAGACTGATTAAATATGTGAGCCTGCTTTGTTACGCAGTGATCATAAGTATTTATATAGACAGCATATAAACCTTCCCATAGACTTTTTTTATTAACTACAACTGGGTTTAAACCTTCAAACTTACAAAACATTTTGATGAAGTGATTTTTCCACCCAAAAACTGACAAATCCAGCTCTGTCTATTAGCTGTGGTCTCTTTCCTTTGTTCTTTGGTCACTGTACATTTGTGACTTTACAATGCATTCATTTGTTCCTATTTTCTTGTCTTGTCATCAAAATGCAATAATGTTTCCAACAGTACAAGAAAATCTAGTTTAAAATAATGTAAACAGATGTTCTACATAGGGCTGGGTAGTATGACCTCAAATTTATATCATGGTATAAATTGAATCCCATCACGGTAATGGTATATATTGCGGTAGAAAATTACCATAAAAGCAAAGATAATGTAATTTTTAGAGCATTTGTTTTGCAGAGAACTGTAATCATAATCAAACCCAGCATTTTTGCTGTAGTGCAAATGAACATAACAGAAGTACTAAAGAATTTTATATATAATACAAAATGGTTTCAACAACACACAAAAGCATTTCTCAAATTTTCAACAATATCAAAATAAAGTGGATGTTATAAACAGTACTTCAAGTAAAATTAGTCTTTTAGACATAAAAACAATTTAGACATAAAAACAATTCTAAGTTTGCATAAATTGCCTAAAATATTGTAGTGTGACAGGACCTTAAGGTGCTTAAACTGCTCATACAACCCCTGGCAGAAAGTATGGAATCAGCAGTCTTGGATGAGTACTCATTCAGACATTTCATTCTGTAAAACAAACTCAGATCAAAAACATGATACAATAATAAGGTCATTCCAAAGTGCAACTTGTTGGCTTTCAGGAACACTCAAAGAAATGAAGAGAAAACATTGTGGAAGTCAGTGAATGTTACTTTTATTGACCAAGCACAGGGGAAAAAATATGGAATCACTCAATTCTGAGGGGAAAAGTATGAAATCATTAAAAACAGATAAACAAAAAACCAGTCAAAATACATCACTAGTATTTAGTTGCACCACCTCCATATTTTTTTCCCTGTGCTTGATCAATAAAAGTAACATTCACTGACTTCAGCAATGTTTTCTCTTCATTTCTTTGAGTTCTTTTGAGCAATATTTCGGCTGTGGTGAGTTGAAAACCTTTCAAACGGATTCACTATTTTAAAAAAGACATTTTCAGAGAAATGCAGACAATAAGTTTTGGATAATTTGGCGACAAAATGTTGCACTCATACGTAACAGTTTCAGAAAATTCTCCTGTTCATAACTGTCGCAGACTTTAACAGCTTATAAAAATAAAATAAATGCTGTATCAGACACTGACATTTTGACATATCCCTAAAAAGAACTAAAATCCAGGTGTGTTACGGCTTTTTCCTACAAACAGAAAAGGACTTGAACTACACGGTTGAAGAGGAATGTTTGTAAATGTGAATGAACTCTTGTGTTCGCAGGTGATCCATAAACATTTCTACCTGAAGCGAGCAGAGATCATGACTCAGTGCGAGGACTGGATCGCCGACATCCAGCAGTACAGCAGCGACAAGAGGGTGGGCCGCACCATGTCCCACCACGCCGCTGCGCTGAAGGTAATTTCATTTAGTCAGTGAAGCACAGCGGTCTGAATTACAGGGTGGGGGAGGTTTTTGAGTTTAATCCAGCTACAATTTGATCAAACACCAGGTTTGTTCAGCTCTGAAGCGACGTGTCAGATCAATCATTCAGCACTCGTTGCTTGGTGTCTCTGCTTTTTCGGAACACGGAACAAGAACTGGGTCAGACTCTGATCAGGTCTTGATAGAGAAGTTCTCATGTCTGAAATAATATCCCAAACATTACAATTCATGTCACTGATGAGCTGTTTAATGCAGCTTTGGATAAAGGATTTAAATCTCTGTTCTACAGTAAGAAGGTTTTATTTTTACAGAAAGCACAAGCTTTTAGGATGTAGCTTCTGAAGCAGCTTCGCAGTGTGAAAAGGTTCGTCTCAATTCTTAAATCACAGATTGATCAAGATGTTCTCAGGACTCGACCAGTGGGCTCACATCAGAAGTTATAAAACTCCATCAAACCTAATTGAAGTCTGTCAAAGCAGATTTTGCCTGGATGGATCAAAGTGTTGKTTTTATTAAATCAGCTCCTGTATCCATGCTGTTCGGCCTCACAGTGGGAGCTGACAGGCAGCAGATCACCTCCTTCCCTCATGTCCCACTAATAAACAGTGACTGGCTGCAGGGGACACCCCCAGCTGACTGAAGCATGGCCCCCGCTCCCCCTGCCTGTAAATCAACACAGTGAATCCCTCAGTAAATAACAAGCTGCACTCATCTCAAACTCTGCAGCCCTCGTGTGTTTCTGCTCTTTCTGTGATACGAAATGTGCCCGCAGAGATTTATTTGCATCTATAGCAACTTTTATGACCTGAAGGCCAGAAGTGGCCTGAATGTACTTAAAGGAGACATATCATGCTTTTAAATCCTTATTTTTTTACATTTAAATCATTCAGCTGGGGTCCAAATAAAGTGGAACTGCAATGCTTTGGTCTAATTTCCTCTTTATTGTAACTCCACAAGCTCCTCTTTGTGAGATGCCTCAGATCAACTCGTTTTGAGGCTGCCTCTTAAAATCCAAATGAGGCACTTCACACTCTGCCCCCCTCCAGTATTATGCAAAATCAACATTTTTTTTTAGCTTTATATCACGTTATAATGTCATGCCCTCATCAAAAACACACCCAGTGTTGCTTTGACTCAGTCATTCATGTTTGAGAAATCCTTGAATCTCATGTGGTARCCATTTAGAGCTGCCTTGTTGGTACAAAGCTCTGCCTATTTACACAAAGCTCCTCCCTGGAGAAGATCATATTCATGATTTTATTTTTTGTTTACCCTGACATCGAGATCGCATCTTTCTTTTCAAGCAGGGCATGGTCCTGAAAGAAGTCTAGACATGCATGATTTTTGACTGTGGGCAGAAACCGGAGTACCTGGAGAAAACGCACACAAATACGAGGAGATCATGTGACTCCACATAGAAAGATCTCAGGGCCAACCTGGAGCTTGACCCCTGAAMCTTCTTGCTGTGAGGCAGCAGTGCTAACCAMAATGGCGCCGTGACGCCCACGTTAAAACCCCAGAACTTGTCTTAAACAGTGTGAGAAAACGTCGGGAACGAGCTGAGGTTAAATGTGAAGTTTGTGCCGTGATGGCCTCTGAGAGCTTGTTGTGTGTTTCTTCTTCCCCGGCAGAGACACACGGCTCAGCTCAGAGAGGAGCTCCTGAAGCTGCCCTGCCCCGACGGCCTGGAGCCCGACGCCGACGAGTTCTCCGAGAAGAACGCCACCCTCCTCCTCAAAGACACGCCAGGCCAGGACGCAGAGAAAGCCGGCGGCAGTCAGGACAGCCACTGCAACGAGGGCCAACTATGAGACTCACCCCTCCTCCCACCACCATCCTCTTTATGATTCTTTAAAGACTCGATGGCTGCTGAGCCACAACTTTGTCAATATTTGTATGTAAAGATCTAATTGCAGATTAGCTGGAAACACAGGGACTCCAGAAGGCGACGAGACGTCCCTGAACCATGCTACGCCCTTATTATAGAGTCAACAAAATCTTTTATTTACCTGTAAAAGACTATAAACATTTTTGTGTGCCCCCCCAAATTGTGAATTAACCACTGATTGGTTGATGATATTAAACTTGTTTATGTATACATAATGGCAGAGGACAGATTATATAAGGGAAACTACCTTTGGAGAAGAATGTTTACTGAATGTTTTTTTAATTATTTCTTTTGGACTGTTAGCGCAGACAGTTGTAACCAACCAAGGACATATTGCTATTTCTTTACGCATATTATTTAAAAAAACAAAGCAAAGAAATCACAGGTAACTCGATCTGAGAGAATCCTGCCCCATACCCCAGTTATCCCTGGCTGTGTTTGATTTTTCTGAGATCATATCCACTTGAGTAATGGTTGCAATGGACATTTTAAATGCTATGTTATCCCTTTCATAGGCTTCAAATTAAAAGGCTTTGCCACGCTCTTGATAAACAYTTGTCGCCTCTCAGAACTTCTCCCTGACTGATTTTTACCGACGTGACTGAAGATGACAGGGTTTGGTGTCCGAGTCATGTGGGAAATGAACTTTAAAAGGTGTGTGTTTGTGTGTGTGTGTGTTTGTGTTTTCTGTGCGTGTGCAACAATYGGCAGTGATGTCCAGGAGCTGTGATGTGCCTTTTAAACCGCGTCAAACACTTCCAACAAAAGACGTTTAATCATCTCTGCTGTTTTTTTATTTTATTTTGTTATATATCTACTCCGTCTGACGAGATAAAACTGCTTTGATCTTTTTTTTTTCTTTCTGTTGCATCTTCAGTGCACACCAAAAGCACTTTCTCCTTTACTCACTCCTCAGAACAGTCACGTTTGCGAGGATATTAAATGGAGCCTGAAACTACGGACTGACTGCAGATGCTTCTTTCAGCGTTTAATGGGACGTCTGTTGCCTCAGAGGGAACCAAGGAGCTGATCTGGAATCACGCTGCCACAATGGAGGAGGATTCCACCCATTATAAGTGGGGTTCTGTAGAAAGTTGTGTTCTGAAGCTCTTTGAACAACCTCGGTTTGGAGAAAGTTTAATTGTAACAAATTTGATTACTGTTGTCTGACAACATTGATCTAAGATATTTCTAAGCAGTTTGTAAGGACAACGTTTTTATGTTCTTTTACAAAAACAGCTATTGGCATAAAACTTTTGTAGTAGTCTGGAAAAGCAATTATCTACATTATCAAAGTAACACTTCCAGGGCAGCTCGGAATCACATCTGTGTCAAATTCTCCTAAAATCGTCATTGCAGGTGTGTATAGCTTGTATCAGTTTACTTTTTGTTACAAAGTGCGAAATATGAGACAAATGAGAGGGTTTGATACATGAAGCAATGTGTGAGGAGATGGAAAAGATGACGGCAAACAATTTGTGACTAAATTGACAAAAACTTCMAGTCATTTGCAGGAATAATGAGCAATTCTTGAAATTTGTTAGTGGTTATGTATGTACTATGTACTGAAGTACCATTTCCAAATGAAAATTTGTGTGTTTTCTTGAAATTTAGTCTAACCAGTCAGCAACGGTCTCAGCCCAGTGAGATGCAGACTGAAGAGCTGTAACTGAAAGAAGCTTGTTTCAATAAAAACTGACTTTGTTTGCTCAACTTAAAAAAGTTGTTGAAAAAAGGTTTTAACAAAACATAAATTAAAGATATGACCATAAAAAAAAAGCTTCAAAGGAAGTTTTATATTTATGGACAGGTCTAGTTTATTGGCTGCAAGTTATTGGAACAGGAATGTTTTATAAATGCACAGTATGTACAATATGACACCACCATGGGGCTAAGGATAGAGTCTTGAGGAACACCACATGTAATTAAGTAAAAATAATATAAGCACACTAGAATAAAATTAATCAAACACTCTGGAGAAAAACAAAAACACACTCATGGACATATAAATAGAATAAAAACAAAATAGAAATATAAACAAAAATGTAACCAGTTATACTGTAATAAAAGTTGATATACTGTATAATCAACTGAGAACTTCTGGCAAACCACTGCAGATTCACAATCTAACCAGTATTGTGAAGTTATCACCTGAAATGTTTCTCCAACTTCCCAGATGTGTTGCTCTTGTAGGCCGAGTGACCCGTCCATACTCCCAACTCATGCCTCTAGCCATTTCAGATTGAGTCAAATCATTTCCTCCCACCATGCCTCACTCTYCGCTGTAAACCTTAGCAGAACCTGGAGACGTGCTTTTAGTTATCAGCTTGTTGAAAAATCAGGTTCCTTCTAAACTCAAACCAGACAATGACATCTGACGGTGGAGTATTGTGGCATCTGCTGAGAAAGTTTGCTATCAGCTCTAAATAAATCCAGAAACATTTTACTTTTGTTCTGTGTTCAACCAAGATGGACTTAAATTGTGACATTTGCCCATTCAAGTTAACAGTCATTGTATTTTCTTTTTTTCAATTATTTTCTTCTTTCCTCCAAAGGGTTATTGTGAAGGTTTGTTCTTCTTGAACACTTTAATTCTTTTATGCAAACTTTTACCTGACTTAACAGAGGAATTTTGAGGTGGGCAACTGGGTTTCTGCAGTTGATCTTAATCTTGTGATGGTCTTCATGAATGCCAATTTCTTTACAGGAATTACGTATTTTTATTTAATTATTTATTTAAATGCCTCAAAGCACTTTTATTATCTGACAACCTTAAATCTGAAAGAAAAAAAGTTAAGACAATATAATTAAAAACAGAATGCAATGATTTGGAAATTTTGTTAGCCCATATTTTATTTGGAACAAACTGAACATWAGAGTTTGAACAATAAAATAAAAATAAAACCACAACCAGTACAAAATAAATGAATGCATTGGAATTTGATGGCAGCATCACATCTCAAATATGTGACCAGGATTGAGAGGGTGTAAAGGTTAGTGGTACTAACAAGGAACAACTTTACAAGCAGGTCATTAGGCATGTTCTCACAATCCATCCATRTAATCCCAGATTATAGTTTAGCTGGCTATGTTGAGCTGAAAGTCAGTTATTACAAAGGATGCGCTCAGCCAGTTGAAGGTCGTATAATAAGTTAAAGCTATATAGTTCATGTTTCTGTAAACTCGGTATAACAAAAGGCATGTTTATTACAACGTTTTCGGTCAAAACGTGCAAATTACGCTKTAAACAGTTTATGCGACACAATATTCGACGCATACTTATGACGTCCCGCAGCGTTCACTCAACGAAGCGCAGCTGCCTACCGTGGCGTCCTCTCTGTAGTGAACACTACGGAGGGAACATTTCTGCGCTCTTCGTCGCTTCAGTTCATCGCTTTGGCCCACAATGCAACGCGCGTGTGTCATGGCTGCTCACTGATACCTCTTTGGCCACATGGGTAGATTAAAAACATTTTCTACGGGGTTGAAGCAGTGACTCGGTTCTGTAGGTGAGCTCTCGTCAAGTCGGAACCGTCCTGCCCGCGGGTTCCAGTGTTCGGCCGTCATGCCGCTCGGTGTGGAGGTCCCAGTCCTCAGAGGCTTCCTGACAGCCGGGGAGGCTGCGGAGTGGAAGCAGCGCATCGCGGATCTGGCAGGTGAGACTCGGGAGGATTTGTTTTCTTTTTTTATGTCGTGTTTTACTCTGGTTCTGCGTGTCTGTCAGCTCTGTGTTGAGCGGAGAGGTTCGCTTTAAGAGTAAAATACTTGTATTTAAATCGCAGCAGGCTGAACCTATCGTTTCATTTACTGCACCGCTTTGGACCTTTAAATGTAACAAGAAATGTGTGGGCATGGCACGCGACGATACGAACCGTGCGTAAAGATGCCAGACTCCGTTGAAAACTTGAAAAAAATGTTAGTGTAGGTTCGGTACTAGATTTATAATGAAGTWTTACTGGAGCGGTTCGAAATATTACGAGTTGCTTTGGTATTCGGCTGACATTGTTTTGTTACCAAATGGGTCACTTTTGAACAAAACCCGAAATGATATACGCTTTAGTGTGTTCATAATGGTTTGAACAGAGGATGCTGAGCAGAATTGTATGGAGGTTTCACATCTTTACCGCTGCGTGCAGGTCCGGATCTGCCACCGGACAAACACGAGAACCGACACAGAACCACAGATATTGCAGGTGGATTTTTTTTCCCCCACCAGTTTTTGTGTGAAATATAATAAACGGTGCCGAAAATGTACTTRGTAAATTGTTGTCACTGTAAGTCCTTGTTGTTGGATCTCGGTTCGGTTCGGCTCCAGACTTACGGATCCGTTTCTTTATAATCCATCTTTTAGAAACTGCTTCWCTTGCTGTCAGATTGTAGTTTTATCTGCATAATTCGTTTTTTAAATACCCCCAAATAAAAGTTGTATCCATGTTTAATTCTGATGCTACAAATCCATCCATAATTGGACCAGTACCYGAGGTTTRYGATTAAAGAGATATTCCAGCCRTTTTGAAGTGTTGCTCGATGTAAAAGTTATGAACGAACAACTGTTGTAGATTATTCTGAGCAGCCTTATTATGAAGACAGACTTTAKGGTTGACAGGACCCATGAGCTAGGGGGTAGTTAGAACACAGCCAAGACCAAAGTAAATGGCTGAATACAAATGACTCAAAATTGAAAGAAAATATTTATTATTTTTTTAAAGCCTCACAGAAACCTGAACGGAGAGCTCTGTGGGTATGTTTTGTGCAGCAACAACAAGCAAGCTTTTCCTCCTCCTGCTGGAAGCACATACAGAACCTGCATGTCSCGTGGCTCTTCTTGTCAACATCATTTCCCCTTTTATTTTCACTGAAGCTGAAGTTGCTCCAAACATTGGCTTGCAATTCAAAAGGTGCCATTTGTTTGAGTCTCTGTCGTCTTCACACCATAAATGATCCAGCCTTGAGATTTCCACTGTTTGAGCACGTTATATTAACTCTGTAACTCTGCCTTTAACTTAGCATTACGTGGTTACTTAGAAATAAATGKGTGATTATTCTCAAGACTAAACAGCAGCAGCTAGCTGTAGCACTTCCAGTGCAGCTTGASGTTAGATTTGACAGGAACCTCATCATATGTTTTTGTCCAGAATAACAATATTTAATTCACATTAAAGGTGGTGTAAAGGTCTTACTAACAGCCTTTACATGCACTGCAGTGACTTTAAATTTTTGGCTTGATTTATGATGGTCATGATCACATTTGTAACTGGGTCTGCTAGAACAAGAACAATAATGAAACAAAATCTCAGAACAGTATTCAATCTGAAATGTGACTCGTAGGCAAATAATAATAATTCATAATAATAACAACAACAACCAC